AATAAAACCTCAAAGGGAGTTTTATAATAAAGTAACCATGAGGGTGTTTGATTAATCAAATGACAAGAACCTTGCACACATTCCCCCCAAAATTTCAAAGGTAAATTGGCTTGAAACCTCAAGGCTCTAGCCACGTTCAAAATATGTTGGTGTTTCTCTCAACCCTCCCATTTTGTTGGGGTGTCCCAACGCATGATGTCTCAAAAATCATCCCATTAGAAAAAAAATAATTTTTCAAGGAATTGAACTCTATGTCATTGTCACTACGAACTGTTTTTATGACTTGATTAAACTGACGTTTGACCATAGCAACAAAACTAAGAAACATAAACTCAACTTCAATTTTATTAATTACTTATCAAATAGGTCCACACACCACGTGAAAAATCATCTATAATAGTAAAAAAATAGTAAGCACCACAAGACGAAGGTGTCTTGTAGGGCCCCCACAAATCCAAATGCACAAGCTCAAAAATACGACTAGCTTTATTGTTTCTAATTGGGAAACTATTCCTATGTTGTTTTTCCCGTGGGCATACATCACAAGGTTTATTTTTAAAGCTTTTACTAGAACTACTCACAACAGGAAGAGAGCGTAGAACTTTTTCCGAAGGATGCCCCAATCTACGATGCCATAACTCCAAGGAACCATCACCAGTTACTGTCAATGCCTTTACCTCAGGAACACCACGATAATAGTAAAGTCCATCCACGCATTCACCCCTTCCAATCACCTTCCTCGTCATTAGGTCTTGTATAACACAAAGATTGTTAGTGAATTGTAAAGAACAATTCGATTCATCACATAATTGAGTGACAGAGATCAAGTTGCAGTTTAATTGCGGCACAAAAAGGACGTTTTTAATCATCAAACCCCCTTTTAAAGTCACACTGCCAATTTGAGAGGCATTAGCATAATTTTCGTCAGGAAAACCAACTTGGTAATTAGTCACACTTGTCACATTGGTTAAAAGGGATAAATCACAAGTTACATGGTTTGATGCTCCTGTATCGATGATCTAAGCTGAACTATTCTTACCATGAAGCTTTGATTTTACTGAATTTAGATAATCCATTAATTGTTGAACCTGATCAGATGAAACCCCAGTAAGAGCAGCAGCATCAGCAGACGTAGCTGAGCTTTGCGTGGGTTGAGAAGACTGCCTAGTAGTTTTGTTTGCACGAACCGGTGCCGAACCACCACTGCCATGACTGCCAACTCTCCTTGCGCAGGACTAGGGGTGTTCATAAATCGGTCCAAAAAAATGGACCGGACTACCCTGGACCGAACCCGGTCCGGTCTATAAGTCTTAAAATTCATTTTTCCGGTCCGGTCCAAAACCCTATAAAAAACGGTTTTGGAATGGACCGATTTTTTAATTAAAAAAATGTGTGAAACCTTAAATAATGGTTAAAATTATCCTTAATAAGCTTAGTAAACTTTAACTTTATAAGTTTTTTTGCACTAAACATACAAAAAAAGACGTAAAAATGACGTTACAATATAGTTTTTCCAATACTTTTTTTGGTGTTTTCCTTAACTTTATTAAAAACTTAGTATTCTTTGTAAAAAAATTCTTGAATCGGTCCAAAGCGGTCCGGTCCGGGTTTTGGACCGATTCTTTCGGTCCGGGTTCGGTCCTAACTTAATCGGTCCGGTCTTCGGTTCTTAAAATTCTAATTTCCGATGTTCGGTCTAATCCGGTCCGGTCTGGTCTTGGACCGATGAACAGCCCTACGCAGGACTGCCATGACCAGCACCCCTGCCACCTCTGCCACGGTCTCCCCACCACTCGGGATACCCAATAATCTAGAAGCACGTACTCTTGACATGTCCTTCCCTATTGCAATGGTTGCACAACTTATCATTGTTCTCTCACCATCTGATTGAACTTTGAACGCCACGACATGTTCACGAGCACTAGAAGGCTTACCTCCACGCAAGCTTTCTACTTGGATTAATTGTTGATATGCACGATCAACACTCGGGAAATGTTCCTGGGCTAGAAGCTGCCCACGAATTGAACCATAGGCCTCATCTAGGCCAATTAAAAAATGATGAACATAATCATCGGCACGGATTTTCTCCATTTGAGCAACTATGTTGCACGTACAAGCACCACAAGAGCATGCGGGTACTGAAGCATAAGCGCTCAATTCATCCCTGATTTTGGACAAGCGCCCAAAATAAAGGGCCACAAATTCACTCGAAGCTTGCTTGCATTCTCCCAAGGCCTTCTTCAACTGGCACACACGAGTGCCACTAACCACACAAAAACGACTCTTGAGGTTGTTCCACAAGAGACATGCATCATCATATTCACCAATAGTAGACCGCACAATTGGATCCAAGGTATTTGACAACCATGAGACCAACATGAATGCACAGCCACCCAATCATCTAATTTCTCCGAGTCAATCGGCTTCTTGACCGTACCATCAATGAAACCATACTTCCTCTTTGCCTTCAAAGCAGTACGAACTGCTCTCGCCCACTCATCATAGTTCTCACCACGCAATTGTATCGGGGTGATAACATTGCCAGGGCCATCACTCGAACCGAGATGATATGTCAAATCGATCTTAGTTTTGCCTCCATCACCACCAGTCATGATTCAAATATGTAATTAAAAATTTTAATGGAGACTCACAATTCCTCACAAAAGAAATATGAACTAGATGAAACCGATCTCAACCTAAGCTCTTGATACCATGACAACATAAATTCAAGAATTCTTCTCTGTATATTCTATATGGTATGCACGGCCATATACATGTATTTATCTTAGGTAAACTTGGTGGGCAAGGCCAAGATAACCTACAAGATTCTACCATATCTTTCACAATATACAAACTTATCATAAATAACAAAATATATTCACCAAATATCCTATAATATCTCAATAGTGTTCCATGTAATGCCCCACATTGTATCTTTTCTAATTTTTTATTTAATGATGAAAATTTGATGTCTGGTTAATGCGTAAACAAAAAAAAATGATAAAAATTTGTCAATGAAAAAATAACTTATACGGAGTACTAATATGATTTCTACCATAAATTGATCATTTTAGATCATTTGAAGGAGGATGACATTGATGCTGAAGATGGAAATGTTTGAGAAAACTAGTAGTCTGGAAGGGGATATCTCTTATGTGTGAATGCCCTGTTCAAATTGAAAGATTTTTGGAATTATGTTGTAATATGTGCCATTAGCGGTGATCCTCATATGCGAAAGGTTAGTATTAAGGTGAAGGAGCTAGCTATAAGTCTGTATGACTGTATTTGAATATTGCAACTAAAGTAGTTAAGCTCAATAAGATCAATGATGCCATTACTTCTTGCTCTCTGGTATTTTTAGTCTAATAAGAGAATTTGAAAACCTTGTTTAGAAGTCTTTAGGAAGTCGATTATTATTGATAATATTAATCGTTTAAACAATGTAACAATCCTATTAACAATTAATTAGCATTCATAGATGCATTACGTTGTTAAATGGTAATTGTGTAATTATCTTTTTTTTTTTTTTGAATTGCTATTTGCCACCATGAAATTACTCAAGCTATAGTATTAAAAGACTTTTATGCCCCTTATTATTTTGAAAATAACATAACAATCCAACCATTACTAAGTACTAACTTTGTCCTACCTTGACCATACTCAAGCCTTAGCTCCACATTAACTATCAGCTCCACCACCCATACCACCACCCACCTTGACTGTCCACTACCACGACTCCACCTTAACAACAAACTTGACCGATCCCACAACGGTTGACCACTAACATTGTACTTTCTGTCCAATAAAATGAGTCGACGATTGTCTGCGTTCATATCGGAGGCACTTGGTGGGGACAAAAAACCTTCGACGTCGTCGAGTCAAGTATATGTCGGACTTTTTTTTTAATTTCCATTGTTCCGGTCGCATGCTATATACGACTATACCACGGTGTAGTCGCATATAACATGTGACTATATCACGGTGTAGTCGCATATAGCATGCGACCGGGTACCATTTAAATTTTTTTTTTAAGCAAACTGTTTAATTTATACTAATTAACTTTTAATAATTATTAAAAATAACAAAATACACTTAATTTAATTAGTAAAATTTATTGATTAAAAAAAATTAGTAATTTTTTTTTTACAACGAAAATTAGTAAATTTATGGGCTTAAACAAATAACAAATTTGCCAAAAAAAAAGTAAGGGCAGATGCGTCATTCAATACCGCAACATAAGTAATTCTATTGTGGCATTTAGTAACCCCTTGTTTTTTTCTTTTCGAGGGAAATGAATTGTGTCTTCTAAGCAACAGATGTTCCAAATATTATCACAATAACGTAAATCTAGTAAAATCATTTTATTTGTTCATGTAATGACAAAAAACTTTTAAACCCTGAACATAATTGAAGTTCGAGATTAATGCTTAACCTTTCACCTGTTAGTTTTATAAACTCGAGGTTTTGTTTAGCAGCAGGATTTATGTTCACCTGCAATTTTCATGTGTTCAGAGTTTGATAAATTAATTAAAGTTCCTATATTTCGTATTAAAAAACATAATTGAATTTCGAGACCATGAGAGAAGTAGCTCACTTCCCCCGAAATATGAGACTTTAAAAAAGCCCAACCAAAGGAGATAGAACCATCGTTTGAAGTCATTATATGATAAAACTAGGTGCACGAGCTAAACAAATACAAGTACAAAAGAAGTTGATATCACTAACCAATAAACTAATGGCAATCAAAGATAAACAAAGAACAATTACAAATCATATAAACGGAAATTACAGAACTTTCGTAAGATACAGACTAAATATATTTGGTATGGAAAAAAGATAATCAAAGTTTACAGAGCCATCATATGAAAGAATATTGGCACATTGCCAAAGTTGCCAACCTCCTTTTTCGACAAGTTCTTGCTGCACAAAACTGCGTTAGATAATGTTGAGCATAGTAGCAAGAAAAGCAATCCGAAAACAAATGCATGAAGACATGATCAACAAAGGAGGTTAATATAGCCAGCATATTTAAACCAGCTAAGGGCAAAGTAGTGCCTTAATTTAACTGAAAATGTCAAGTACTACAGCAAAACCGAAGCAGCAGTTCAGGCATTCTATCACCCAAATGAAAACAGCCCTATACAAGGTGTCCAGAAAATAAGGCAAGGATGGCAAAAATGCATCCTAAGCATTCGGCTAGGACAATCCCTGTCGTAAACAAGGAAACCTACGCGTGCATACCACTACTGTTTTGAGCTACCATTTATACAAAACGGGCAATTAAAACATACCAAAGTGTTACCAAAGCGTCAAATCACTTCAACAAACCAAAGTGTGCAAAAGCTAAAACCCCATTACTGCTAGTTGAAAATCACTTCTCCAGAAGTCATCCTAAATATTTACATGGATAAAACACGAACTGGCATCTTCTCAGCAAAAGAACATAGAGCTTGCGACACCTTCTTGAAGCCTGGGGAGCTGAGGAACAGGAACAGATCCAGCCGAAGTCACACCACCATGGCTTGAAGAAGTCTCTGAGGTGTCCTCAAACTTCATCCACTGTGACATCTGAGTGGCAGCCAAATGGGCATAGCAAACTGGGGCAACTGCAGACAAAAAAAAGGGCCAAAGTCTGTCATTAGATACCAAGTATACTGTATACACAAGCCGCACAACACAAACACGAAAAGCAATTGTTACTTACCAACAGATATAGCAGTGGTACTCCTTTGATACCTATACAACACCCCAAATCAGTCATTAGTTGAGAGTATGGTCCTATAAGAAAACTGAAACAAGTTTTAAGGTTAAAATGAACTTACACATAGGAAAGCGAGTGAACAAGGTCCTGCAAATCATCAGGAGAGAAACCCACCTCATCCAAAAGGACGTGGTAGTGAGTAGGCCTGGTTGTACCCTAGAAAACAATCAGACTCTAGATGTCAGAACATAATACAAAAGCACCTAATGATAACGACTATAACTTGACAGAAGCAGAATAATGAAACACAAGCCATTAGTGGTAGGATAGAAGGGGTCTGTATTCCAGCAATCCACCCAAAAAAAAAATTCAAAAGAAAAAAGACGTGCAACAAGGAAATACTTTGATAGAATTACTAGAAAACAAGACAACAAGGACATCCCAATATGAGAGCTATAAAAAGTCATGGCTGCAGGATGCTTACAATCATTCCAGCATGGGCACAGAGGTAGAAGTCATAGGTCCTTGGATGGCAGACACTGTTGTCTATTATAGTACCTGCACAAGACAAAAGAAGACTAACATTACAACTCCGATCACTCAACATACAATACTTTTCTACAAGCATATATTACCTGGAGGGACGTTCTCAGGAGCATTGGGCTGGAAAAACTTGGTATGGTGATTCTTCTGAGCCACAATCACCACAAACTTCGGGTTCCACTTCTCATCCAGGAATTTGCAAGCCTACAAAGAGTTTGGAGTATGTTTGTTGATAAAAAGTAGAAAATTATCAAAGGATGAACACAGTAAGATAGCTTTTTAGTCATTGACAAACCTCAATGATTTTGTCCAGCTCAATGTTCAAGACTTGATTGAACTGGGACTCACTAACTCCATCCCTGAGAGAGAGAGCAAAAGAAGAAACCTTAGGAACGAACATTAGCATAGAACTAAACAAACAAGAGAAAAAAAAACAAAAAAAAAACAGAGATTTTTAACAACTAGTCAGGCAGAAGCTCGTACCTGAATATTATGATATGTTCAGGCTTTCTTTTCCCAGAACTGACGTAGAAATCAAGCAGAGCCTCCCTGACAAAATATATTGACCCATCTTAGAACTGCTTAAGCTTAAGACAGCACTTACACAGGTAACACCTTCCTCAAACATACCTCATGATACCTTCATCCTCAGTGTCAGACACAGGTTTGAACAAATTGTCTATCATTTCCACTTTAGGAGACTGTGTCCTCACTGATGCCCTGTATCGCGAAATCAGGGGCCATTCCCTGGAGCTAACAACCTAAAGAGCACAAGAATAAACATTAGCTAATATCGAGAGCAAATTTTCCTTGTCAATTTTTTTGGAAAGGACGAGGGAGGAGCGAGGGTAGAAAGTTACAGCGGCAATGGATGGAACATCAGAATGCCCTGGTGATCCATGAGATACATCCATCCCAAGAATTATTGTGGGCACTTTGGAAATCAGAGGTATAGAAGGAGTATGTTCAACAGCCAGCATGGAATTCAACCCACCAAGCTGCATAAAAAATAGACAAATATGAGAAGTCACCCACATTTAAACCAAGACAGATTATAGAACTGTCATGTACTTCACACTTTCCGCCAAGAATGTTGCACATAAAACCTCACCTTTGCATTTATCTTTAAAAGCAAATTTGTAAGATACTGATCATTAACCCTGGTAGGAGCCATACACTGTGTAACTATACCAAAATCAGCCAAACACTTTTTCTTCCAGGGACCTAAAAGTTCATTATAATTATATAAAGATAATCAGTATTATGTAAAGATAAATTTAAGAAGGAAAAAAAAACAATTATAGCACATCAATTCAACTATAACAAAATGTTACCATAAACTTCGCAATTCTTCCTCTCGGGAAGAAGGCATAAAAGGAATTTCGGTGCCCCAGGGAGCTTGGATTGTACGTCTTCAAACATTTTCTCAACCCTTACGAGTGGAGGTGCACGTCTGTTAGATGGATTCTCCTCAAAGACATCGAACGGAGCCTCAAAGCCCTAGAAATCATGCACCATCAATTACAAATAGATCAAACAACAATGAGCACAAAAGACCATTCCTTCTATCAACTTAAATGAAATTTGGTTGATACTACTTACAATGCCTTTCATGTTCGCACACTTCTCTAAATCCCTGACAAGGCCCCTAGTATCACATCGGGCAGAGAAGTTGACCACTGCCCAGCGCTCTATCTTTGATGGTTGTACAAGTTGCTGTAGAAATACAAGATAAGTAAAAAGCAGAACTACAAAACAAACTTAAGTTGTCAGGGGAACAAATCACACCTTGTTGTTGAAATTCCAGCGCCCATTACGGGGGAAAAAATCCTCCCCTTTTCCACATTTAAGCTGAAACCATGCCATAAAAAAAATTTGTGAGAAATCCATCTATGGTCAGTCATTAATTCATGAATTCATAGAGCACAGATGGTAAAATATGCAATTAGAAGTCACCTTTGGAGCTGGAAGAACACGCCCATTGATTTGAGTAAACGCACTACTGATTGTGACTCCACACTCACGAAGCATAGGTTCAGCATCGTAATTACTGACCTTCAGAGCCTACATCAATATAAAATTATTAACATATACAATAATGATCAGAGCCAATCAAAACACCTAAGTGACATGCATCACTTATGAATAATGGAAACCTACATGAGAAAGCACACTCATTCTCTCCTGGGGCTTTTGCCTAGACTTTTCAACCAATGACGCCCGCTGAAGACCAGATAAAGATTTTGTGTACCGCTGAAGTGACACCAAAGAACAGAGCTGCAAAACATAAACACACAAAGGAAAAATATTAGACTTAAAGAGAGCATTTAACATGTTGCAATGCAGAAACAAACAAGTAACTTCAAACTAAGGTTCACCTCCAATGGGAAGAAAGTTGGTCGCTTAGGCTTCCCAACATTGATGCATGGTAAGTCAGCAGAGTAACGCAACTCAATTTTGCGATTGTTAACGAAGTAGTCATACACTGTAACTTCTAGCGCCTCACCTTCACCATTTTCATTACCTCGTTGCTTCAAGGAGAAGCTACATTGCACGCACAAAGCAAAAGACTCCATTATGTTGCCAGATAAAATACAATGAAAAATAAACAACTAACTTCTAGAAAAGAAGACATACGTCTGCTCTCTGCATGGCTTTTCACTCAAACCAGTAATTTTGAATTCTTGGTTGGACGTGGTTGTTTTGATCCTCAAATTCTTAAGCATTCTTTTTGCCTGTAGCATTGCATGTTCAAATGTCATTAAGTAAAACATTAAAGCTAACATTTTAACAAACTGTTTGCAGCATAGAAAAGGTTGATACCTTATTCCAGTCAATGGAATAGGGATCTCTAACATTCTGATTAGCAATCAAAAAATCAACCACTGGCCCTGGCTGAACAATCATAGTAGTTGACACATCTGAACAACAAATGCTGAATTAGTCATAAAATAATATAAATCATATAGACACCGCTAAGGATTAAATCAAATTACTTACCGATGTTTAGGGACAAGCCAGACTGGGTACCACGGAAGCTAGAATGAAACCCTCGGCAGCCCAAAACACCACCTCCGACATCTGCAAAGTTCTTAGGATCATTATGAAAGAACGACTGCCTAACGAGCAAACAGCCCCTGCAAAAACAGAACACAATATTTATTAATGTCCTTAAGAAAACAATAGATGGAGCACATGAATCAATTGGATAGATCCTTACTGTTTAGCAGCATGCTGCCTCAAAATAATATCAAGAACCCTAAGGGCTTCCATGCTGTTTTCATTTTCTTGACCACGTATGACATTTGATATAGCCTGCATAGGGATCTTAGCAGCGAAACTTAGTTCAACTTTGAATGTTTTTGACTGGAATGGGCGTCGTACTCTTTTCCTGTCACTCTCATTGGGACTTCCACGACCTTCAGGACTTGCATTTCCATTATTCCTATACAAAAATAATAAATAAATAAAAAGATCACAGGTATAAATATTGAGATTACCTTGAAAATAGCTGTCACCATAAACTAGAAGCCCTATAACAGAAACAAGATACAACAATTAATCACCCTTTACCTAGCAGATGTGACATCTTCTAGAACAACAGTGAACTCCAGCTTTTTTCCAGGGAGTGCCCCAACAGTGAACAGACTCTTTTCACCATCATAGGCGAAATGTTTGCCAGCCAACTCAGTATCATATGTTTCTTGCACTCTGTCGAGCACTTTTCTTCCTACGCCTTTCCCCTCTACAGGGCGCCCATCCTCATACATGAGATTGACCTGTATAGTTATTTAGAAGTGTTAGCATTTAATAGATTCAAATATTACTCTTGTAATAGTAAAGAGGAGACAAACATACACTGTAGTGAAAGAAATGGCCATCCACATTAGTTATGTTCACTTTAAAGTGATTACTGAGCAGCTGAATCTTTTGACCTTTGGTCCCACTGCCACGTCTAGCCATAGGGACACGTTTCTTCTTAGGAGGATCTGGTTCTGCCTTAATTGGTACTACGTCCGGAGGAATTTCTGCTGGAGGAGGTGGAGGCGGAGGCAAAGCTTCCGCTGATCCATTTCCATTCCCATTTTCATCATGTGGATCCATATTCTATCACAAGTCTGTCGCAACATAACAGAAGCATAGGTCAACAAAATCAGCAACATTTATCAGATGTCCGCCACAGTCTAATACAAGGGTAATAAGTAGACTGTAATGGAAAACAAATGCAGTCTTAAATACCCTTTAACAGCCTTCAGCTCAGAATAACACTCAGTGGTAGTCTCACACAATATTCAAACAGAATGCATAAAATGTTCAATCAACCCAATAATGTAAACGACTACCCATTGCAGTCACTACTAATAAAGATCAAAAAGACAATATTCAGGAATACACACTTGGGAACAAAGATTAATTGAAAAAAAAATAACAAATGCTAACATCATCAAACACATCCAATGAAACAAAACTTAACAGAAAATCAAAAACATCGATACCATATTGTCACGGAACACAATGTTAGAACAAAACTTAACAGAAAGACGAACAGAGCTCCTATAAAATTGATATCCTATATAACAACTTGTACCAATTTTGTTTACCAGGAAGACGAACAAAGCTAATATAAAATTTATACAAAATCCTATAAAACAATGATATTATAGTCAACAGAGCTACTAATGAAAAATAATCAGGCATTATGTCCAATTGTCCACAAACAAATAGATAAAATCCAGAGGATGACGAACAAGTCAATGCTCTCACATTTCAAGTATATTAGCTAAAATCACCAAAAACTTCTCAAGTTAGCATTCCACCAGCATAAAATCCACAAAAACAATTACACAAACATCATCACAAACAATGCATGTTGTTTCTATACACCATTAAAGCTTCATACATTCATAACAGCAGGAAAAAGCTACATAACGAGTAAAATGTTACAGTATAGTCCAAAAGTAAACAAACAAAAAGAAAACCAGGCATACAAAGCCAAAATGTAAAGATTTTACTGCAACATGAAATTAAAATTACAGAGCAAGACATAAAATCAACATGCAAGGAATTTTACAAAAAACCCCTTTAAATCTGAAACACAAAACACAACAAAATTACCAAAATCAACACTAGAAACATCACAAAACCACAAGATACAGGCAATTTAACACATTTACTGAGAAGATCTGGTGTATATTAGTAGATATACATCTCAAACTATTACATGCAAAGACCAATAAGCAATTATTGTCAAAGAAAATTACCAATAAATTATAAATAAGTGATGTTTTTGAATCTGCTTCTACTTCTCGCCCTTCAACTCCTGTCAAAATGCAAACAAAATAGTGTAAATATGTAAATCAGAACATTTGTTTTTGGGAAGCATAAATACATAAAAATTTCAGAAATTCTGAAAAATAAAACCCTTGAAAATCTTTCAAAAAACCAAAAGACAAAAATTCCAAAATAAAACAAAAATAATAATAATAAGATTTCCAAGCGACATTGCGATGAACAACCCAAAATCGCCAAAAATACGAAAAACCCAGAAAATTAGAATCAAATTTTTACAACTACATTGCACAAGATCAAACCCAAACCCCCCCCCCCCCAAAACCCGAAATTATACCTTAAAAACCCTGAAAATCAACCTAAAAACCCATCAAAATTTCGCCAAAAAAAATCCAAAAAAACCCAAAATTCATATGAAAAAGTAGAAAAACGTTTGATTTACCAAAAGGGAAAAGAGACTACAAGAAAAAAAAGATTAAAAACTAGGGTTTAACGATTTGTTTACTCACAGAGAAGAGAGAGAGTGTAAAAATAAAAAAATAAAAAAAAAAACTGAGCTTGTGACCAAATGTGCAACAAACGAACCCTACTCTGCTATAAAAAGGGGTGAAATCATCTCCCAAGGTAACCAGTAATATCGGTTTCCGGTATTTTTTAATTTCCACTGTCATCGAAATCTTCTTATTCTTAAATAAAGTTAATTAATAAAAATAAATAAGTAAATATGTCATTATAAGTAATTACCATATTTGCCCTATGTCATTATAAATAATTACCATATTTGCCCTTTTGTAAAATGGAAAGTAATAAAGAGTGAGGGTATTTTGGTAATTTCCAAAGGGATGTGGAAAGGATAGTGACGTTTTTTACGGAATAAAGGGGTTGGGCTTTGGATAAAGTGACATTTGGTGATGTTTTTCGAAACACAGTGGATTGTGAGGTTGCCACGTGGAGTTTGTTTTTGGGTTTTTATAATTTTTTAGGAGAGTGAGTGTGTGGGCTATACGAGGTGGTTGGAAATGTCATTATCATGCCATTATGCCAAACTGTTTGTATTTGTAAACTTCTTAACAATATTAATATTAGGTGGAATGGGTTGCATCACATATTTTATTTGTACAATTATACTTCGTTCATCCAATTACAAAATTTAATTTTGTTAGGTTTGACATGTATTTTATGGGGGTGTTTGTACCTTGTTTAGGGGGGTAATGAGGTGACCCCGATCTATGTTTGATTAAGTTGAATTTGTTAACATGTTTATTACTTGTACGTAAGTTATGGGAAAATGAATTTATAATTATAACCATTATTCATGTATATTACTCGTATGTAAGTTATGGGAAAATGATTCTACAATTATGGTCATTACTACTCTCTTTATTACTTAAAATTTACAACTTTTTTAATTGTTTCTTTATCAAGAGTTGTACTAAGTATGCAAGTTGACAGTAGGAATTGTAGGTTATGTATATATATTAGAGTTGTTCATGGGCGGGACGGCCTGCTAAGCCCGCCCAACCCGGCCCGCAAAAAGGTCGGGCTTGGACAACCTTTTTGGAAAAAATTGGATATTTGGGCGGGCTAGGCCCGACCCGTTAACATATATGGGCGGGTATGGACAAGAAATATGTATCCCGGGCTAGCCCGCCCGGACCGTTTATTAATATATAATAATAATAATAATAATAATAATAATAGTTATAAATTAATAATAATAATAATAACATTCTTATTTTAATAATTTTATTTAGTTAGTTAGTTATGACATACTTTGTGTATTTTTGAAAATAAATGCAAAGAGACTATATTGAACTTTAAGTTTTTATTAGTTACAATTATTCATTTTAAATTTATATTTTATCATTAACACTTTTTAAATAAGTTTTATCTTACATATATTTATATTATATGTTATAATTTCAACCTTTTTTAAAAAAAAAAATCTATTACCATTTGTGAACAAAAAATTATAAGACAACTATACTAAAATAATTTTAGCACAAGTAAATATTAGTTAGTGTTATAAAAAATAAAACAAAAATTAAGGCTCGTTAGCCCGCGGGCAAGCCCGACCCGTTTAACAAGCGGGCATGGACAAAGTATCAAGCCCGCATAAAAGGGTTCAGGTTTGCTACATAAAGCCCGTTGGACAAAAAAATAAGCATAGGTCCGACCCGCTACCCGTCCAAGCCCGCAAATGATCACCTCTAAGAGTGAATAAATTGATGATAGGACCATAAACATTTATGTTCAATAAAAGTTAAAGAGTAATTTCTCTCTTTATAAAACAAAATTAAGTTATGTGATTTTAAAATATGCAAGAGTAAATTTTCAGAGTGCAACTTATTAACGTGTGTAAGTGGAACATAAATCTAAATGTTGAGGGATTTGAGGAAATTATATTACATGATAATTTTTCTTTTTTCAACCTTTTTATCTCCCTCCTTCCATCTCCCCTCCTAAAGGAATGCAACTCTTTCAGGAAAGCAAACTCATAGCATTAATAGCTCACCAATTATATTCCATCGTTAAATACTTGATCTTCCACCTTTATTTGACCCAAAATTCAATTTTATCACAAACCTTTCACACCTTTCACCACTAATGTCTATTTCTACCAAGGTCACCTCAAGTTACTCATATTTTACACATTTTCTCTAGTAATAGGAAGAAATGACCTTTTCCCCGCACCTTGAACAATCTATAACAAAAACTTTTTTTTGTTTGACATATGAAACCATCTAAAAGAAGAGTTACAAATCTTACAATTGTAAAGAGTCATGATAATGTTTAAGCAAGTTACTATGAAACGCATCTCCTAGTTTGCTCATTCGGTTTACTAGGTCTTGCAGATGTTACCATAACCATCAAGTATTTGGGTACATTATTAGAGAAAGATACAAACAAAAATTGAGTTGCACTTTATATAGAGGGGTGAATGTAACATCATCACTACAAATAATATGTTTATATTCCATAAATAAAGGTTTTAAAATTCAGGATTATGCAAACTTCTAAAATCATTAGAGAGAATAGAGAATTAATGACTTCCAAAATCAGGTTGTGACATAAACTAGATAGGTTACGGAAGCATAATGGCATATTTTGTACCCTCTCGAACTATATGATGAGTTATCTAGGGAAGCATATTTCATACCCTCTCGAACTATGGATCTTTTACTAAATTAGCTACTTAAGTAAAATTGTTTACCAAGATAGCTATTTATAAATTCCCACATTCTCGAAACTAGCCATATTATTAACTAGATATTGAATTGGAAGTTTTTTTTTCCCATGTAAATCGGTGATTTTACAATTTTGATTACCACACTAACTACTGCCCTACTCAACCATTCCCATTACACCCATTATGCAATTGCATGCATCTAATCTTTGATGATTCCATACAATTTTATATTTTTGTTTGATTAGTAGTTTTGGTTCATGTTAAATAATTCATGTTACCATAAATTAGAAGTATATACAAAGTTAAAAATCACTATTGAATTTGCAACTTAGTCAAATATTTATGAAGAAAAAGTCCATCTTTTATGGTTGATCAAATTATAAGATTGTAAAATCTTACTTTGGGGATGCAATTTGAAGATAAGCAACATGGCTAATGACCTATGATGTGTAATATAGTAGCTAGAAGCTCATTTTTTTATGTAATTATTATTGCATTTTTATGTAATTCTTACTATAAATTTTGAAGAGATTTGAATCGTTTGGTAATTAAAAGTTTGGAAAAATGTTTGTTTGCATATGAATGTATTTTGGCTAATTTATAGAGTGAGAATATAATTAGAAAAATCTATTTTCTCAAAACTTGGCATAAGCAACCAAAAAAAAAAGAGATAAAAACCAAACCGATTCAAATGTTAATTTTCCTTCCTAGCCTATATATATAAATAGTTTTTTTAACTAGCTAATTTCGTAAAATATCCTTCAGAATTATCCTCTACCAGTCTATTTTCCTTACATGAAAATTGTCTTAAATTAAGATTATTCCTCCCATATTTAAGCCATGTTCACTTCACCTTATAAAAAAATAATATGTAGTAAAGATAATTTCAGTTCAGTAAAAATAAGTTTTGTTCTATAAAAATCAGTAACTTCAAAGAACAAGTATAATAAACAACCAGTAAAATTAATTTAAGTTCAATAAAAATAGTTTAAGTTCAACAAAAATTTCAGTTCAGTAAAATTAATTTAAATTCGGCAAAAATAATTTCAGTTTAGTAAAATTAATTTCAGTTCTGCAAAATAAAGGTGAAGTGAATAGGACCTTAATTAGGAATTTCACTTATTAAAAGAATTATTTAGGAAGTGTTGTTTACTCCTTTAAAATCATAGTTCCACGTAAGTACAGACGAGTAGTAACTCATAACTAGTCCGGGTTGCAACTGTTTACACATGTAATCGATAAATTTTTTAAAAGCTTTTTAAAATTGTAATTGTCATCAATTACATACTACTAAAAGCGAATCTGAAGGAACACTTGGCAACATATTATTAAAAAAATTCCCGCCAAAATTACTTTCCAAAAAAATCAATTATCAATTACATACTACTAAAAGCGAATTTGAAGGAACACTTGGCAACATATTATTAAAAAATTTCCGCCAAAATTACTTTCTAAAAAAAATCGTTATTATATAATAAAGATTGCATTTAGATTATGACTTTTTTTATATATATAAAATCTAAAATAAACTTCCTAAAATATCAACTTGCACCTTATAACTATAAATATTTTCTCTCACATGTTTTAATCTATATATTATACTAAAAGACAAGCGCCTCAATGTGAGGATGACAAATGTCACTCTCTCATTGGCTTATCTTATGTATAAAATATATCTATATAATTATTGTTTACATATTCAAGCATAGTTATTTTTGTTCAACTTTAAATAATAAAAGCAAGTTTCTATACTTGCATAAGATTTATATGATTTTCTAACATGATTAAATTTTTAATAATAAAATATATATTTTTCAATACTGCAAATAATCCATAATGTCTTTCCAATCTTTACTTATAGTCAAGTTAAAGAATAATACTGTAACTAATTTGAAGCAATATGATTAAAGTGCATAATTAAGGAAATAAATATTTTGTATTTTGAAAGGCTAATATTGTTTTTTTTATGAAAATTAAATAAAATCGATAAAATTAAGTTTGACGTCAATTATGAAATCAATACATACATTTAAAAAAAAAAACCAGATGTACAGTAAAATATTGTGCACCAATTATAAAAGTTATCCTAAATTCAATACAAGTTATCGAATGAATACAAAAGTTTTTGATAAAGATACAAAATAGTGTAAAAATTACTTTTATCGTTTGTTGTACTCCTTGACAAATACTGAATGCTGAGCCGAAATGTTGTCTTGGAAAAATATATATAATCTTGAACATAAATTTAATTTTAATCGATCTTTCATTTTCTATGCAATGCCTTTTACAATGACCTTTTAATTTTCTTACGTAAATAAAATTGAACCAGAAACCAATCTAAACAAGAAGAATAAATGTTAAATTGAATTAGACATTTGACGGGAAAGGACAGATA